TAATCGTTTGTGTATTAACAACACGCGGTTTCAACATCCATAAGACATCCAACGTGGTACTCCAACGACGGCCAAACGGCACATCAAATAGATTGCGTTCTCATCCGTACACGATGGGTTTCTTCGATTGAAAACTGTCGATCCTATCGCGCGGCTGAATGCGAAACGAAAGCGGATCTGATCACGTACTAATTCGCGCGAAAGTTGGACTCCATCTAACAACTCGCAGGAAAACCGTCCCCTCAAAACGCTTAAATGTGCTTCCACTGGAGAACAGCGAGAAATACCGGACGCTAATGAGCATGATAACTGCACAGCTGTCAAACGATCCCCTCGGTACACATGGGCACACAGGGAGCTCGGTTGAAACTCAATGGACCAGGATGAAGTCGTCGGTGCAACAAGCTGCTCTACACGCACTAGGTACTAGATCACGTCGCCTGAGGGACTGGATATCCTGCCACACCATCCAGTTAGCTAATGCGGCCAGAGAGGCCCGCCTAGCTCAATCCTCTGCTTATCGCGATCTCAGACGACAAGCAACACGATCAGCCAGAAACGATAGATGCAACTACTGNAATGAAATGGCTACAAAAATGGAGACGGCAGCCAATCTGATCAACCCGGCGACCCAATTCTGACTTACTCGATCAGCATCGGGCAAGAAACAGGTTACCCATTCTGTGTTGCACAGCGTCTCCGGCAAGCTCATTTCTGATACGCTAGGAAAAATGTCTCGATTGGTGGAACACTTTGATCTTCTTCTCAGTCGCCCTCAAATCCAATTTCCGTATGCGCCCTCCTCATCATATTCGTCATACGAAGCTAAAGGTGTTCCGCCATCAGTACAAGAAGTTTCAGACATCATCAGCCATTTCAAGCCACGGAAATCTCCCGGTGAAGACGGGATACCCACCGATATCTACGCATGGTATTCTTTAACCATTTTAAACCCTTTTCATAGCTTGCTGTGTACAATCTGGGAAACCAAAATTTGCCCAACTGACTGGACTAAATCGATTTTACTACTTTTCCCTACAAAGGGTGCCAAATCAGCTTGCGAAAACCACAGAGGCATCAGCTTACTTGACGTGGCCAAGGTTTTTGTTGAACCGCTTTGTTGCAGCAAGGTATGCACGCACTCGTCCTAACCAGAAGGGATTCTGCCCCGGTGTGGGCTGCGTCGATCAAATATTCGCTCTACGTCGATTCTTGGAACATCGCCACAAATTTCAACAACCTACAACAGTCTGCTTTATCGATTTTCGTGCGGCATTCAACTCCGTGGATCGCGAATCCCTCTGGAACATAGTTCTAGCCGATGGTGTCCCAGTCAAACTTTTCAACTTAATCAGATCCTACTATTCTAACACTAGCGCCCGAATCCGTGTCTACGGAGATGAATCTTGCCCGTTCGGGTTAGGATGTGAAGTGCCCATTGTCCCCAATGCTGTTCAACTTTGCCGTGGACTGGATAATGGGTCGTTCGATGGAAGGATACCAGGGAGTTCAGGTCTCTCCGAACTTATGGCTCACCGACTTAGAATTCGCGGATGATATTGTCGTCTTTGGCCAGGACATGTCTAACCTCCAAGTAATCGTTGACCGCATCAGTGGACAGGCCTGCGAGATCGGCCTAGAGGTGAACACGTCAAAAACCAAAACCTTTGCGACAGTCCCGACTCACCCCGGAAATGCTTTATTACTAAACGGCGAGCGGATCGAATCCGTCGAAAGTCTCAAATACTTGAGCTCAACCATTCTCCCCAACAGCCAAGCTAAAGATGAGATGCAACTGCGCGTCGATACTGCGGGAAGGGCGTTTTTACAGTTGAAGAATCCCCTTTGGCGCAGAAATGAAGTCAGTCGCAAGACAAAAATCCGAGTTTTCTCCGTCTTGTTTAGCTATACGACTGCGGAACCTGGCCATTCAGAGTCGAAGACTGTCATAGAATAGAAGTTTTCGATCACTGATGCGTAAGAATCATTCTGGGAGTACGATGGAGGGATGAGCTCTCAAATGAAGTGGTCAGAAATCGGTGTTTTAAGCTTGTACGGCTGAGGACGCTAATGCAACGACGGCGACTACAATGGTTTGGCCACATTCTTTGTAAGTCCGATAACGACCTCACAAAAGCCTTCCTGGCACCGCCACCCTGCCCGAACTGACGCTGTCGGCGCGGTGGACAGCTGAAAACTTGGCTTGGCACGGTACAAGGATACTGAAAATCTTGATCTTCCGCCTACGGCGTTCGCCAGTGGATCTTGCCGCAGATCGCCATGCGTGGGCAACGGCAATTCGAGCTATCCACGAAGTTGGCTTATCCTCTCCCAGGAGCTAGCCGCCGTCAAGTAAAGTAAGGGACACAAAAAGTACGCACGGCTGACAAGTCCTAAACAGGACAAAACAGTTGTTCAGTGCTCTTTGTTGACCTTGGAAATGCTGGTGGTAACTTTCTTGACTGCGCTATCTTCATTTGCCACGCAACTACCTAAGTAGGGGAAAAATCCACTACAATCAATTCCTAACCATCAGGCTCAGAACCGGGGTAGACAATGGTACCCGATGTTGTAGCATCACTTTGTACTTTGAAGGTGCGAACCGCATCCCAAATAGAGTTACAGAACGTAAAAGTCTGTCAAGAGCTCTTTGCGCATCCTCCATTCATTCGAACGGACAAGCAGTGTCGTCAGTGTACTCTGTCTATCCTCCTACGTCCCAGCGGGGGTTTCAACTGATTATCTGTGCTTTTTTTTACTAGAGCGACATCTTCATGGGTAAACGTAGGTATTCAAATGAAACCAAGAGGTGGCCAATCAGTTGGCCCTATGAGACCAGATACGAGGATCTGCTGTTCACCCATGATAATTTCGATTACGATTTCACTAATCGGTTGGGACTTGGAGTGGTAAACATCAATAGGCCTCGCTAGGTATGCGCGGTGTTGAACGGGACAGAAAAACTGGATACCAGCAAGATTGTGACGGTGGCGGTTCCTCAAGCCACAGGTCCGATGCACTCCGGTGACAGCGGTTAAACCGCTGCATCGCTTGCAAACAAGCATGGTGTCAACGCAAAAACAATCACAGAAGATGGGAGAGGGATTGGGGTACAGGGTAGCGATATGGAGAGCACAGTCACAGCAAATTAAGAGAATAAGAATGACATTTTTTCTGTTTGTTTCACCGTACACTTTGATGTTTTGTATTCATCGTTTTCAAGAGGCACGGGATTTCAACAGATAAACCACACAGCTTTCACGCTACTGACTTTTCTTCTGGGTCATATCTCTTAGCGTCTTTAACTCTCGACAGTCTTCATCCCTTGGGCCCGAATCTGAAAGGCGGGCTGCTCCAACCGAAGGCAATGCTGAAGCTAGCTTCTTCATATCTCTATACCATGTCATGATTTGACCCGTTGAAATGTTTCTTCTGGCCTAGCAAAGATAGCGTGAAAAGTGTGACGGTGGACGGGTATACGCAGAATGTGCCCGAGCCATCGGAGGCGGTGTAGAGCGATTAATTCGTTTAGAGCCCGACCATCAGCACCCCGCATACGGCAGATACCAGACATGAGCAATGCTTGGGAGATATCGGTGGTTCACACAGAAAGCCTATTAGTTCTATCAATATGGAGGGGGCAGGTCTCAAAACCGTAAAGTAGAACACTACGATCCACGAAGCTGCCCTAGTTTTTGCTATTAGTGACTTTATCTCATCCGAGACAAGACCGGTGCGGACTCCAAACTACTCCTCATTTATCTACTCTTGACGCATATTATACAAACTGCGGAGAATGGGGGACGCCAACAGCTTTGAAGTGTTTGGGTTCAGGCTTATTGGCGCAAAAACTGCACGGGCCGTTTTTAAATATGAAATCAATTTTCGATTTCCCCCATGGTGAGAATACCGGCTTAGTATTCTTAACTTTAGAGAATAGAGCAACCGATTCTCTAGCATGCTTTATTCCATATTTAAAGAAGGCTGAGGAAGGCCTTCGAAGTCTGGTGCTTTGTGAAACTTAGATCTCCTTGCGTATATTCGTCTTAGAAGATGGGTCTGTTGAGACAGACCATGTGTGTCAAAGTAGCTGTGAAAAACACGCTGGTGCACAGCTAAACTGTTCCTTGAAGTGCTCCGCTAAGCGTGCAAGATGTCGCTTTTGGTTGTAGAATGTGCGAGCCATCAGCCTTCTTACGGGGGACCCTCATGAGATGGAATAGCATACGGGGATTCACTATGACGCGAGCGTGTTCCTTCTTTGATGCGCAGTTCAGTCCAGTTCTTACAACCAATTAGCTATCTAACGGTGATTTTTCGACCGGTAGACTGTCCCTCACCTGGTTTATTTACTGAAGTGACCTCCTTAGGGGCAGGTGTGGATAAAAAAGGAAGCCAATAGGTGCCCAAGCAGATGGCCTCGTGAGACGGATCTTCGTCTGGTCTCTACCCACTTACCTTCCAGGCATGATTGGATCTACGGCTATAAAAAGACAACCTATATAGCTCGCAGGGTCATTGAGGATCATAAGCCATTACTCCACGCCAAGGTGCAGTCTCGTCGTGATGGTTTTTCTGATATACTATGGCTAACATACGAAACGTCCGACCGAACCGAAGTTAAATAACAGCAGATTGTCTAAAACAACCATTCTGGTTGCTTGTCCAAACCCGTTAGATAAGGATTCGAAATTTTAAATTTATAATTATTCGGACAGTGAAAGTTGAAAATTTAGCTGACTTTTCGTGAGAAATGTTAACTCCATAGACTGCATTTATTTGATCCGTCTACTTCTTTTAGGGCCAAAAAATAAAAATTCCAGTAGTTGGAGTAAAAGAACGCAGGTAGAAATGCTCCAAACTACTCACAGTCATATATTCTTCTTGGGTGTTGTCGCATTTATTTAATTTAATCTTTATTATTCTTCCACATTTCACCGTAGGTTTCTCTATCAGAAGATGGGTCTCCTTTCGCACCTCTAGTCAAAATCTGTATAACAATGGATCAGGCGCGTGCTTTGGTTCAATTTTGTGCTTCGTTAGCTTCTTCTGCGCAAGCATTCTCTACCCCGGGGCAAACGACCACAAAATCGAAATTGTCTCTAGGTATGGCCAAATCCTTATTGGGTTCTATTGGCTCCGACCAAACGAAAGCCGACGCGGCCTCAGCTGTCGTGGTCATGACCGCTGGTCGTGGTCGTGGTAAATCCGCTGCTCTGGGTCTCGGTCTAGCCGCAGCAATCGAAGCTGGTTTGCCGAACATATATGTGACTGCACCTAGTCCGGAGAATTTGACCACTTTGATGCAATTCGTGATACGGGGTCTAGTTGCCTTTGGCTACGAGGAACATCAAGACTACGTGGTTTCCCGATCAACCGATCCCGAATATAATCAAGCTGTGGTTCGAATCAACATTCACCGACAAAGTCATCGCCAATCGTTGGTTTATCTTCCCCCTTGGGAATTGGCCAGTCATCTTGGCCGGGGTAGTCAGCAGGCAGATTTAGTTTGTGTGGACGAGGCAGCCGCTATTCCGCTTGCATTGGTGCGGCATTTCGTCACTGGACCTCGTTTGGTCTTTATGGCCTCCACAATTAACGGATATGAAGGTACTGGACGATCACTCTCGCTGAAGCTGATAAAACAATTACGAACTGAATGTAAAATTGCCGAGGCTTCTATTCGCCTGAATCCAAAACTCATCCTGCCGAATGTGGAGGCGAAACCGCCGTCTATTGAAAAAGAAAAACTTGGCAAGGGTTTCCGTTCTGGTAAGCTCAACATGATTTACTCATTTCGTAATTGATCCCAACCACCATTCGCTCTGATTCACATTTCAGTAGTACATACGCAGTTAGGAGATCCGCTCATTTAACAATAAACCAATTTTATCCAATTTTCATTCATATGCTCCTCAAGTTGTACTTTGTATTCGTATAACTTTAGCGAACTTATATGCTTACGTTTCAATTGAGATTGTACACATGTACTTCCAAAACCTTCCTAGCGGCTACTCGCTTGCAAGTTTCATCCGATACCTAGACTTTCGCTCGATTCAGTACCGCAACTGTTCTGTTGCAACAATACCTCCCAAATGATAGGTTGCGCTTACCTTTTTATTGCTCACTGCAGTCTGAAGAACAACAGAAGTAAATCCTATGGTCACCTACAGGTCGTTCATAAGAAACCGCCAACCTAAGCCCTGGGTTTCGGACTGGTGAACCACATAGGGCACTTGAATTAACCAAACAACCAGGCCTGTTCACTTATTGCCTTGTGTCCTGTATGCCCATTCATCGAAGTGAATGAGAACTACTGCGAGTGAAACGGATTAAGCTCGTTTTACTTGATGATTTCTCGCGCCCTGATGGCAAGGTTTATATCATCTCCCTGATTTTTTCCTCGGAGTACACGCTGATTGAATACAGCTCGTTTGAATTGACTAACAAATCCAGTTTTATAGACCTCAAACTAACTCAACGGGCGTCTCTGGCCACTGAAACGCCAAAGGGGCTCCCTGAACGAATTCAACTGGTGTCTAGATGTTTCATGTGCGATTTTATCCAAATGGACGGACAGCAGTTATCGCCTGCTTCAGCTCTACTCGTTATACTGATTGTTGTCGTCAGTAATTGTGTGTTGATACTTTTTCTTCTTCACGTCAGCAGATTATTGTATTCTCGTGATATCATCCCTTTTTGCTCTTTCTATCTCGTACTTGTCTGCGATAAACACTAAACGCGATGAGTCACCAAGGTTTCTTTTAGGGTGTCGAAACCCAAGTCTGGTAGTCGTAGTATGTATCCAGTATATTAAACCTTTTTATTGTATACAAACAGTATAAAACGCTTTCTACAATTTCCAGCGGAGTTAGCGCCTATCACACGCGAACATTGTATCATATCGGTAGTCCAAACTATGACGTTCATTGACTGCAACACATTCGTAGCACAGTATATGAAGCGTCTATTTTCCTTGTTTTATTTAACCAGCTGACACATCGCGTGTGCTTTATGAGGTTACTCTTGAAGATGCTATACGCTACGCCAACGGAGATCCGGTAGAAGCATGGCTCACTGAACTGCTCTGTTTGGACTGCGGTGCAAGTCTACTGCGTGAGATTCCCGACCCTAATGGAGCCTACTACCCACCGTTGGATCAGTGCCAGTTGTATTTTGTTAATCGTGACACTCTGTTCGCTTATCATAAATCAACTGAAGTGTTTTTGCATCGACTCATGGCTTTGTACGTGGCCTCGCATTACAAAAACTCACCAAATGACCTGCAGCTGTTGTCCGACGCACCAGCCCACCACATTTTCTGCCTACTGGCTCCCTATCGTCCCGACTCGGGTCGCGTACCGGAAATCTTATGCGTACTACAAGTCTGTCTGGAAGGAAAAATCAACAAAGATCGTGTTCTGCGAAGCCTCTCGCGTGGAGTTCGGCCTTCTGGAGATCTGATCCCATGGGCTGTTACTCAACAAGTAAGTTGTCAAAAACTGTGTGGTTGTAACCACTAACCCTCGAATGGTGCGGTTGTAATTTATTGATCAAGAGTATTTCATTAAGAGTCTCAGTTCCGGTTTCATCATCATCATCATTGTACAGCGTAATACAGTGAACCGAACTTCACTGATCGCTGCCAAACTCATAATGCATACAAGGAAAGTGATAATGTGTAAGGAAGGCAGGGATTGGACCTATTTTTAGGGACGGGAAAAGAAAGCGAACCTCCACGGTCAACACACAGTAAACAGTTTAACTGAGCATACATACTATTTCAAGCATTCTGGTCTGATAAAAAGTAACAACATAATCGCCATTACTGTCGGTTAGCAGCTATGACCTTCAGTGTTTCCAACCATGCGGTTTCGGAGTCTTTTGGACCTCAATCCCGAAGACGAGAGACACTTCTACCTAATCGCTCAATTTATTTGCAACCTTAGACCATTGAACTTCTCCATTTTCTGTTCGACTCCACTTTCAACTTTCTTTTCTTCTCCTATTCCTCATCCAAATGGGCAGCCAAAAGATAGCAACCAAAACCAGCGCACGATAGTGCATGGTTAATGGTTGTTCAAACTGCACTGAACTGAATCGCTCTGTGCATTTCTTTATGCCTCATCTACACGTCATCTGCTGGCCTCCACGTGGCTTTCTCCAGCCTGTAACAGCCACTGCAAACAAGGCGCGCTCCGGTAGGCGACTGTCGGACATAAGCAAAACGTGTCCTAACCAATGGAGCCTACTGAGCTGGATTCGATGAGATAGCGAGTTCCTGTCTCCCAAACTCCCGATGACTTACTTCTAAGTTACTAACCCGCTCACTCCATCCCACTTGGGCCAGACTACGTAAGCATCGATTGTTGAACACTGCTAAAAGACGGGTGTCTTCTACCCGCAAATTCAAGGTCTCAACCGTAAAGTAGAACTAATCGCACGGTGGCGCAGTATACGCGACTTTTCAACTTCAGTACCACGTCATGTCGCCGCCACAGGTGT